GAGCAGGGAGCCCAATGTGGGGCTCGATCCCAGGACCCTGAGATCATGACCTGAGCCGAAGGCAGACGCTTAACGACTGAGCCACCGAGGCACCCCTCCATGATTACTTTTAAAAATAACTGAGACTACACTACTATATTATACATAGTCAGGTACACTGCTGTGCACAGGCAATTCCAGGTACTGTATTTTGTTCGTTGGTCAGCAACAGCACAAATCTTATGCTACAAAAGAAATATATCAATCCAGCAAAATGGTTACATCTAATTTTCTTTTAAAGACAAATTAACTAAATTTAAGGAAGAATTGCCTTTTTCAAATTACTGATACAAACTTACCATAGAATAATTACGTATTTTGCCCCGTATCAACCTGCAAAAGGTTTCCCAACATAGATGCATTTGTTCAATTTTCAAAAATAAATAAAGGTTTTCTACCTGAAAGCATTTTACATTCCTAGCTCTTTAAACATTAAAACACAAAGTACAAAAAATGATCTCCCCACTTCTGAAGAGCCCACTTAGTTATATAAACTATTTTCTTTCCCAACACTTTTTCAGATTCAAAAGAGATTTACTTCGTAAGAACAGGACAGATCTTCAATTCAAACCATTTAGTCCGTTTCCATGGCAACACTGCGGGATTCCTTGGCTACCATAAGTCGCATTAGTTGACTGTGGAATTTCTCAATCTTCTTTACGTCTTGGGCTTGGTCTGTTCTATACACCAAACACTGTCAGAAATTTTAAAAGTACACATTAACTACGTAAAACCAGATTATCAACAACGTAGCAAATGGAGGATTGGGTACAAATATGAGTCTTTCCCACCACGTTTTGCTCTATTCCCTCCGGGGGTCAAACTAAGGCAGTTACAGTCAAGTTTCTAAGCCCCCAGCAATTATGTTCCTTTAGTATCTTATAGTATTTCCAACTCCACTGCTATAAGCAAAAAGCTAAATGAAATCTAACAGAAGCTCCTCAAAAATGACCAATTAAGTAATATGCTAATCCTGCTGTGGGGTCTGATGAGAACTCCAGGCTTGGAATCAGATTATTTTCTCCCTGGGATCTGGTCATGAGTTAGTTATACTGGAGAAGCACAGCAATATTAGGATTGCTTTCCTTCCTTGTGAAATTGGGAGATGGGGAGGGGGTAGTAATGATACCTTAAGAAAAAAAATCCACCATCCCTTGCTCACAGCTGGTCACGGTCTAAATTAAACCAGATCAATCTGACCAACCTTGATTTTTTGAAGGTATTCATAATTTTTAGCCCAAACCAAATTCTTCCTTGCTATAAGTTAAATTCTTCATTAGATGTATACTTCAGATCCGCTTATGGTTTCTCAAAAACCCTTTGTTCTAGAGTCTTCAAAAATACCAAATTTAGGCTGGCAGTTCTTTCCCTCATTTTGTAACAAAAGGTCCATTTTTCTGTAGCCCATTTTAAAGGTTCACACGAGTCTTAAAGGGAACGAATGATCCTGCAATAATAGTCATCAACTTAAGTAACCTATAGTTCAATCTTATCACCCCGACTGGTCATCCTGCCTTTAACAACTATCACTTAACGTTGTTATGTACACGTTGTAGAAATCTGTGCAACAGTCTTGTAAAGAGGCCACAATAATCCCCAATGTTTCAATTTCACTACACGTACTGTGGGAGGATCTGTCTACCCTGTCACTACAGTTTGACAGAAAAGATTTCAGAGTCATAGAAAATATAAATCAGTCATGGGATCAGAAAAAAATGATGCATAAATGGGATTATAAAAAAGTCAAAGACACGGTGATAATAATAAATGTAGCCTAAGACTGAGTTCCTGAAGGAATTACTATTAAAATGAATTAGCAAGGGAAGTGTACACACCTTTTAATAAAGTCATTAGAAAACAGATTTTTTTCTGCTGGAGTTGATTCATACATTTACAGTTTAGGAGGACGGGTTTGACTGTGTCTTTGGCCCCTTCCAAATATGGACTAATTCTCAGTAGTTTTAAGAAAGAACACAGAAGGTGTTTTTCATTTTTCGATCTTGTCACAGGAATCATCAGTGTGACATGAAGTTCCTGCCACTGTTGCCATCCGCGTATCCTTAATTACGTTTCATCATTACCAGAGGCAAAAAGTCATCATTTTGAGGTAGAGCCTTTTGTTCTAAAATGAGCTGTGCGTTTTTTCCTATCTTAAAAACAGGACATGCCAACTTGGCTTCAGCGGATATACCTCCCCGCTCTGTGCCCATCACAGCAGAGAGACTGTCACAGGGACGCCCCGACTCAAGCACACGTGTGGATGCGCTGGGAGGCCGGCTCCAGGGCAGGTGTGTGTGGTTTACGCCCCACACCCCGGTCAGGGCAGCGGGCAGCCACCACGGCACTTCACAGACAAGGTAACGGAGGCCCAGAGAAAGCCAATCTATTGGTCCGAACTTTTCCAAGGCTGAGACGTTGGTAAATGGCTGAACTCGGATTCAGATCTCTTGATTCTAAGTCTAGCACACTACACCATTTTTCACATTTTCAGTTACTTCAAACTTAACTGGTTCCTGGAAGACATGGTAATCAAAGTCTGAATTCACGCCTCACAATGGAACCTTGAGCACAAATATATACAAGCTAAGACAAAAAGTGATTTTTAGTCACTCTGAAATTTTTTAAAGAATTAATCTATGAAAAACCTGTTTACTATGTACCCTCCGGGCCAGGACACCATGCTAGTCACTGGAAATACAGGTAAGAACTTTACTGCTCTCTATTGCCTTGAAGCTCACAATCTACTATGACAAAAAACATGATAAAACAATTGTGATAGAGCACAAAAAGAGCCAAAAAGAAAAGCAAGAGATGAAACAATCCTTTTAGCTGGGTTTTGAAAGATAAGCACCCATCTCGCCACACTGGGGCGGCGGTGGGATTCAATGCCCCAAAGCTGGAAAGAGGCCATCCAGAGGCACAGAGGCCTAAGACAGCCCGCGACGTCACAGGAGCCCCTCCGTAACACAGAAAAGACAGGGTGGAGGGCACATGAAGCCATGTTACATTATCAGTGACGAGGAGCCACTAAGGTTTTTAAGCAGGGTCGTAAGGACCAAACCCTGTATTTTTCGAAATCTCTCCGGACAACTAAAGGATGAACTGGAAGCAGGGCCACATTGGGGAGCCTAGTCTAGCAGTCCAGCCAAGCGAGGACAACACCCTAAACTCGGGGGAAGCACAGCAGAGACAGAGCACTCATGACAGGAAATGAGACGAGGGTGCTTGAGCCAGTAATTCCCAAATGCCTGGGAAAGCACATGGAGCATGTCAGAGGATCAAATACAAGCTCTTCAAGTGAGGGCCAGTGGTCATGAGAATGGGAAAGGAAGGACCTTAACGTGCTAGGAAACAGGAGCGGCAGTTTGAGAAGAGATGAGGAGTTCCATTCCAGACAGGCTAATTTTGAGGAGCACTGAGGTAAGGAAGTCAGAAGAAAAATGTGACCTAAATGTACAAATGTGGAGACAGACCTAGATTCCAGCAGTCCCAGGCACCGTGGCTGAAAGGACTGCTCCAGAAGCAGTATGAAAAGACCCAGGACAGAATCCTGAAGAAACCAATATTTATTAGCAAAGAGCAGTTAGACAGAAACACAGAAAAAGAAGATAAAACGGAGCCACAGATGCCAAAATAGTTTCCACAAGAGTGGTTTTCTGTATCAGAAGCAGCCAGGAGGTCCAGGAAAATGTGAAATGATGAGACCATCAGGTCTGGAAGTGAGGGGATGCTGCTGGGCTCACCACGAAAGTAGTCCAGTGGACGACTACCGCACGTGGAGACCAGGTCCCAGAAGTAATGGGGTGTGCGGAACTGACAAGACTGAGCAGGGAGGGGAAGGGGGAAGCCATAAAGCCTATAACTTGTGTTCAAACACCATCATTTCCTTCCCACACGCTCATAAGGAGACCTCTATCCCCTCATATCCAGTTTTTGTCTCTACGCTCTTTTTGCTTAAGGTCTAAAGTAATTACTAAATTATACCTGACATACTACATTGGTGAAATAAGTTATTTCCCCACGAGTCTATAAAAGTAGCTCTAGAATGAGGTTTTTGACTTTGGAATGAAATGCAAAATTAGCATCCTAATACGCAATCTGCATAAATTCTATGTAAATAATTTTAAACAAATGATTAACTCAAACAGATCTAGAAGTATGCAACAAATAAAAATGTATACTTACAACTAAATCATCTGTTACTTTAATACACAAACTCCCATCAGAATGCCTATATTTGAGAACCACACGGGCCTGAAATAAAAATACACATTTAGAAACAGTGAAGTCAGAAGATATTTCTCACAAATAATTATGAAAATGGTAAAAGGTGACAGGTTTGCTAAATATTATGAAATGGTAAAAGGTGACAGGTTTGCTAAAGAGGATCCCTCTAGAACAGCCAAAACATCTAAAGACATCTTTACTGTAAACATCATTATTGAATGAGGTAGAAAACAGTATTTTAGTTCACTCTTATTGCTATAATTCATTTTTTAAAAAGACTTATTAAAAAGTTGGATATTTACTTGCAGCCAGTTTGAAGAGAGATACTGAAAATTCCCAAAACACATCCACATTCAGGGAATGTCCATGAGACTCTTAACGGTGGTTTGGCATTAAGAATATACAGATCTTAGGGCACCTGGGTGGCTCAGTTGGTTAAGCATCCGACTCTTGATTTCAGCTCAGGTCATGATCTCGGGGGGTTGTGAGATCAAGCCCCATGTTGGGCTCCGTGCTGGGTGTGGAGCCTGCTTGGGATTCTCCCTCTCCCTCTGCCCACCCCCATGCAACAAATAAGAATATACAACAAGAATATAAAGATCTTCCTCAACTTACGATGGGGTTATGCCCCCAATAAACCCACTGTCAGTTGAAAATATCATAAATTGAGATTATCATGGGTGTGTGGCCGGCTCAGTCGGTAGAGCACCCGACTCTTGATTTTGGGGTTGTGAGTTCAAGCCCCTCACTGGGTATAGAAATTACTTTGTTGCCAGCGTCATGAGAGTGTTGTCTGCATCTCACTAGCCCGAGAAAAGATCAAAATTCAAATTCATCGTACAATTTCTACTGAATTCATATTGCCGTTGCAGTACCAAAAGTCAAAAAACAGAAGTCCAGGGGCGCCTGGGGGGCTCAGTTGGTTAAGTGACTGGCTTCGGCTCAGCTCATGGTCCCAGGGTCCTGGGATCGAGTCCCGTGTCGGGCTCCCTGCTCCGCGGGAAGCCTGCTTCTCTCTTTCCCACTCCCCCTGCTTGTGTTCCCTCTCTCGCTGTCTCTCTGTCAAATAAAGAAATAAATCTTTAAAAAAAACCCTAAAAGTCCAAGCATCTTAAGTTGGGGACCATCTATATACTGAAGGGGATCACAAAACATGTCACTTTGGCATAAGGACTGTTCTGAGCAGAGAACAATTAGCTCTCTGCCCTTTCTGGCTTTCATTAACCTTCGTAAAGGTGACATAAATTTCTAATAGTAAAGGTACTCCTTTCTCCCTTACTGGGAAAAGGAGGGCTCTTATCTGTGTAACAGTCCTTACTAATCACCTTCCCACAACTTACTTCCTCCGTAGAAGCCCCAAACCCCCTTTCCTTAATCCACCCTCTTCCCACACTTTATCAGCCTTGTTAAGACGGTACACAGGCCCAATTCTAACTGCCTCAAGTCAAATGCTTTGTGAACTCCATGCATACTGCATACATATGTCGGGTTTTCTCTCTTGTTAACCTGTCTTTTATCAGTTTAATTTGCAGGGCCCCAGCTATTAAACCTAAGAGAGTAAAGGAGAATATTTTTCCTTCCCTCACAATACCCACAACCCAACCGCAGAGAAATGATAGAAAAAGTAGGGGGGAAAACAGCAGACAGGCCTCTGCAAGTCCAAATCCGTGTGGCAAGAAATACGGCAGTCACAGTTCATGCTGTCCCCTACCCCGTGGCTATCAGGAGGTAGATTCGGACTCAAGCATTCAGCGAAGTCACATCCTTATCATGATGGCACCAGACAATGTATTAGGACAGAAAAGCAGGATTCTGTCTTGAGAAGAAGTCTCCATCGAGAACTCTTCCAAAATAACTCCTATGTTGAGCACCATGCTACACAATACCTTTTGCTGTTCAGTATTCTACAGTTAGGGAACCAAGAAAATGATTTTTCTAGAAGAAAACATCTCCCAATAGAGTTTACAACTTCTGGAAACATCATTTTTATTTTTTTAAGTGATGGATTCGAAATAGTGTACTGCGGCAGAGTCCGTTTTTTGCTTACCAACATAAATAGCTAGCTGTTTTAAACAAAGTGCCAACTATCTACAGGCCAAAACAGGAACATAATTTTAAAATGGTCACAGTGTAGAACCAGAAGCCTCAAGACAATTCTGGAAACTAAAGAAAAAGCGCTATGAAGAGCTGTAACTTACAGCTTTTCCCATTATGTCTCTGCTCTCCTGGGATTTGGGGGGGGGGCACACCACTCTGAGATTTGTTTTGGTGAAGGGGAAAAGGGAACTCAGCAAGCACTTACATAAATTACAACAACTAGATTATCTTTAGATGCCAGATTCTATATACTGGGTTATTTAATTCAGTTCTACATGTTTTAAAAAATTCAGTTCTCCAGAAACAAAAAGCAACTTTAAAATGTGCTAAGCATGACAACCATGTAAAATCTTAACTCTCGGTTGAAAGAATGGCTGGCTTCATAAGGAGAAGTGAGAGTTAAAAGCTCTACGGTATTATAAAAGGGTCTATTTTGTAACTGAGGGGGCATCTATGTGACCAGGTCAGATGCCACAAAGAGAGAAAAAACAATCAAGATTCTTGCTCTCTTAGGAACTTTGAATTCAACCAACCAAAATAACCAACACAAGACACATGAGTTAAGTCCTTTTATAAAAGCATACACAGGTAAAATGCTAAAAGAGAAAACAAGTAATTTAAATTGGGGATGGGGAAGTGTAAAAAGGCTTCCTAAAGGTGGCTTTGCCAACGCATGCTTTTTTCTCTTAAGGAAGAGGGTGGGAGAGAAGCTGAAGGAGCAGTGTGAATGAAGATCTAAAATCTGTAACTTCATGAGACTAGAGCTGAGGATTGTGGGTACGGGGGGAAGACAAACCCAGAAAGACTGGAGAGGGTCCGACTGTGGACAGGGAGTCTGGACTTTACCCGGCAATCTAAGAAAAACCAGTACTTAAGTAGGAAGCTGAGAGAATTCCATTTTTGTTTTAGACAGTTGTGGCATAAGCAAAAGAGTGATTAAAAAGGCAGAAAGAGGGGCGCCTTGGTGGCTCGGTTGGTTAAGCGACTGCCATCGGCTCAGGTCATGATCCTGGAGTCCCTGGACCGAGTCTCGCATCGGGCTCCCTGCTCGGCGGGGAGTCTGCTTCTCCCTCTGACCCTCCCCCCCTCATGCTCTCTCTCTCTCATCCTCTCTCTCTCTCCCTCTCAAATAAATAAAAATCTTAAAAAAAAAAAAAAAGGCAGAAAGACTGAGAGGTTATCACACTGTCCAGCAGGAACACCATCTTCAGTGAGAGCAATGCAAGAGAAATGGTAAAAGGTGACAGGTGTACTCGACAGGCTCAGGAGGGTGGGAGAGAAGACAGAGAATTCTCTAAAATAGATTCCAAGGAGTCTTGACAAAACTTCTTTAGCTCTGGCACAGACAGCACAGACTTGGGGTTTAGAGAACGGGTTGAAATTCTAGCTTCATCTTTTATTTATTTATTTATTTATTTATTTTTATTTATTTATTTGAGACAGAGAGAATGAGAGAGAGAGCACATGAGAGGGGGGAGGGTCAGAGGACGAAGCAGACTCCCTGCCGAGCAGGGAGCCCGATGAGGGACTTGATCCCGGGACTCCAGGATCATGACCTGAGCCGAAGGCAGTCGCTTAACCAACTGAGCCACCCAGGCGCCCCTCTAGCTTCATCTTTTAGAGACCAGGCAATCCATTTAATGTATCAAAGGCTGTTTATTCATTTACCTCAAGGGACTGTCCTGACTGTTCCCATGAATGAAACACGTAAGGTAAGCAGTGTAAAATGCCTGTCCCACAGAAGGCACTCCACAGAACTGTTAGCCAAGCGCCCCTCACCTATCACAACATCAGTCGAAAACCCGCAGAAGCTTCCGGGCCCTGGACTTTCCTGTGGGGTGAAGAGAGGAAAGGCTCGCTCTCCATCCTGCATATCCTAGACTAATACGCTGTAAGGACCATCTTGTGGTCATTTCCCTATTAAACTAAGCTAAAATATGATTACTCCTGTGAATTTCTACACTCTTTACTCTGTTTTCAGATATTTTGCGTACGGTGTGGGTACTTCGGGACAAAAATCCTGGATCGTTTTCACAGCGCACTGCACGAAGAAACAAACGTCCCCACCAACACTGGGCGTCAACCGGATGGAGGAGCTGGAAATCGTGTCATAAGCAAAACGCTCGATTTCAAAAGTACCGAACTCATGCCATCACCTCTTGTTTCATTTCACTGTAAAGAATGGACGAACACTGCCTCACAGCTTCTTGTTGTGTATCTAGGTCTAGAAACTTAACAGGACTTTTAGTTAACAAGGAGCTATCTAAATAGTCCTTGGACAGGACAACGAAACAAAAACTCGAGAGAAGAAAAATCGAGACCCGAATGCTTCAATTCCCGTCATCTGGACTCCTTTGCTCTTCAGCAACTGGCATCCACTTATCCTAATTCTTGTGGGGGCCGTGGATAAGCCCCTAAACTGCCACCATTTATATTTAAAAGCATTTTCCTGAGGAAAGGGTGCAAGAGTCTCATACACACCGCGGAAGGACGGAAAAAGGGCTCCGAGAGCACTGAAGGTCCGGAGGCCGCAGCCGCAGGGGGAGGAGCCCTACCCTTGGAGACTCGTAAACCAACCGCGGCCGCAGGGAAGTTCAGGGCTGGGGGCGGGGAAGGCAGAGCAGGGCCGTTTCGGGCCCCGCGAGGACCCGGTTTCCGGGCCTCGTCCCGTCGCTCCTCCGGGAAGGGGCAGCGGGAACCACGACACCTGGCGGGGTCCGTCTCCGCTCACCCCCAGCACCTCCTGGCGGGGCTGGAGAAGTTCCGGAGACCGCGCGGACCGCAGGGAAGACCTCCCGACCCGGGGCAGAGGCAGCGGCCCCGCGGGCATTTACCTTCATAGGGTCGGCGAGGTAGAGTTTCTCGGCCGCGCGACTGAACTCCTCCCAGGTCTGATACTGCGGCATCGTGGGTCGGCAGCGGAGCGCGAGCGGGCGAGGCCGGGGACCGCAGGCGGCGAGACCCGGCCCACCTACCACCTACCTCTGGCTGCCGGAGACCGGTGCGGGGGCGCAGCGGCCCGAAGATGGCGGCGCCTCCTCGCACCAACGCCTCGTCCCATTGGACGGCCCGGCCCGCCCTCGCCCAATGGGAAGGAGGGATGCTTCCAGGAGGGGCGGAGCCCCGAGCGAGCGGCTCTGGGAGCTCGCCGGGAGAAGTCGAGAGCGAGGAGACAGGAGTGAGGTTGCCACAGCGCCCCCTTCAGGACTGGAGGAGAGGGGCGGCGGTGTCGGCCCGCTGTCCCTCCGGCGGGACTGCGTGGTCAAGGCCGGGGTCCTGCGACCGCGACGCAGCGGCTGGCTGCGAAGCACTGGAGACACAAGCCTGGGGGCGGCAGGGTCCAGCTGACACCCCGCAGCCTAGCAAAGTCGGGGGGGGGGGACAGAAACGCAGGAGCGCCGCCAAAAAGTTTGTGCGATGGGCATCTATGTCGGTTCGCTGGACCCCAAAGGAAGCACGGTCGCCTGTAGGGGGGCGGGGCGGCGCGCAAGCTGTGTCGGGGGACGCGGCTGTTCCGCGGGAGGGCCGGGACGCTAGGCCCCTTCCAGATCTCAGCGGTACGCAGAGTGCGCGTGCTTAGGGCTGGGGGACCCGTGCCTGGGGAAGAAATTTGAACTTGGCTCTCCAGGCAACATGGCCTGGAAGGAAGGGTATCTGGCTTTCATCAAGCTTATCTAGGTATATTCTACGTACACTAAAACACACCGGTTGTAAACGTACAGTCTGACGCATCTCGACAAGCGCGTGTGTGTACCCAGTGGTCACTTACCAATATGCCCAATACCGCAATCAGGATCTGAAGCATTTCTTCATCTCCAAACGGTCCCTTATGCTCCTTTATATTTAATCCCCCCACGCCCACCCCTGCCCCCCACGATCACCCATCTGCTTTCTGCGACTCTAGATTTCCTGTCCACTGCATTTACGGGGCTCCGGCTGCTCACCGGGACAGAAGGGCAATAGTGCAAACCCAAAGGCAGGGAGGCCCCTTACGCTGCTCGGGCCTAATACAGGCATAAGAGCCATGGATCTGGTTAGGGCACTAGCCTAGGACTGGAGAGGAGCAGACGGATTAGGGATGGACCTGGAGAGTCCCGTGGGGTACGCAGGAGAGAGTGGAGGGACACCCAGGCTGGGGGAGGTTGTGGTACCAGCACAGGGGAAAGAAAACGGAGCAGCCTCAGGGGGAGTCTGGGAAGGACTGAGCGGGTGGCGCCATCTGTCTCCATGGGAAACTCCAGCAGTGACCAGAAATAGGAGTCAGCAGCAGATAGGGCGTCGTGGAGCCTTCCTCCAGGGAGGACACAGCAGGAGAAAAGGAGACTAACACAGGCCCCAGGAAACAGCAACATGAACAGGGTGAGAGAAGAGAGAGGGAGCAGAGCCCACAGAAGAGGCAGAGGAGAGGTTATCAGAGAGATAACAGGAGGCCAGGAGGGTCTGCGATGTGAGCGAGGAGCAGGTTCCGAGGAGGGACCAGTCAGTGATCTCAGGGGGCAGAAGGAGGGCACAAGTACAAAGAACTGAAATGAGTCAGTGGATCGTAGTGGTTGGTGACCTTGGCCAGAGGAGCCTCAGTTAGATTGGGGTCTGGGTGGAATTGATGGGAAGCAGCAGGAGGGGCGGAAAGGTGGAGGCAGCTGCTTCATACTCTTCTTCATAGAGCTCAGCCTTAAACAGAGGAGATCAGAACATGGGCCGAAGACATTGGTGAAGGAAGAGTATTCTTTTTCCTTTTTTTGTAGGCTCCATGCCCAGTGTGGAGCCCAACAAGGGGCTTGAACTCACGAGCCTGAGATCGAGACCTGAGCTGAGATCGAGACCTGAGCTGAGATCCAAAGTCAGATGCTTACCCGACTGAGCCACCCAGGTGTCCCGAAAGAGAGCTATTTTTTAAGATGGAAAGAGTGTGTGTCTGTTTGTAACTTTCAGAGAAAGAATCGTTAAGAGCTGGAGGGATTAAAACCACAAAGAAAGAGGAGAGGAAGATCTCAGGGAGAACATGAAGGGGAGGACCAGAGGCACAGATGCAAACAGGAGGGGGCTCCTGGCTGCTTGGGGTAGTGGGGAAGGAGGAAAAGGTGAGTGATGTGTAAGTGAAGATGTACGTAGGAGGGCAAGTGTGGATTCGGAGCCTTGAGGAGAGGATTTGGAAAAGCCGGAGAAATGAGTAAGGAAACTCAAAGACAGCATGTCAAGCAGACCTGAAGACCCAGTTGAAGTTGGAGATCCTACTCCTGGAAGAGCCCTGATCTGCACACTTTGGGGTCTGTTTCCAGTACCATCCAGAAGCCTGGGTCTTGCAGTGCAAAAGACAGGTAGTAGGGATTTGTAGGGTGCATGAGGCAGAAGGACAAGGGGACAGAGATGTTGAAGGTACTGGCGAGTGTGTGGTTGAAGGGATAAATCATGGGACCCAGGCTAGGTAGGTGGGTACTTAATCGGGTCAGAAGAGAGAGGTTAAGGGAGCAGGTGTCGAGGACGTCGGATGAGATTTCAGAGGAGCTGTTGTTCCTGGTGAGGCTGACTTGTCCTCTCTTTATGAACGTCACTTACGAGTCAGGCAGAGGATGGGATGAAAAAAGAAGACTAAGAGCCAGGGGCCCGGTTACTGAGAATGGGGTGGAGGAGCCCCTGAGAACAGCAGTGAGGGGCCGAGAGGGCAGAGTCGGGACGAGTGACCCTCTGGGAGGAGGGGTTTTTGCCCAAAGGTGAAGACAGTAGGACTTGAGACGGTGCCACCCTTGCCCTCTGTCACAATGAGGAACATCCCGTATGTCAGGTGCCTACCGGGGCAAGTGCAAGGCCGACCCCGTCCCTGCCTCCTAGAGACCACAGCTTCGAGAGCAGGGATTCCCTGAGCTTGGCCCAGCTCCAGCCCCTGAAGACAGACAAACCAGGATGAGCAAGAAGTTAGGGGCCCTGCCCTGGAAACTTCTGGTGTCCCCGGCTATGCTCGATGCATTCTCTGAAGCAGGTTATTTTTCTAGCTGTAGAGCAATGGCTTCAGAAAGGCTACCCAGGAGCGGCCTTTATAAATTGCACTTGGCTTCATTTTCACACTCACACGTACCTCTATTTGGGCGTTAAAACGAGCCCGACAGGATGGGCCTCAAGCCCTTATCACAATTCTGAAAATCGGAAAAGCTCAGAAAAACAAAAGCATCTTAGTAACTCCATTGGTAGCAAACTTGACCTGACCTCTCGGAGGGTGGTTTGGAGCCTTTATTTGTCCCACTCGGCGTGTTTGAGGACAGGGTGGAGCCCAGTGGCTTCACGTGGCATATGGCAGGTGCGCCATCCTCCCTCTGTGGAATCCAACAAGCTGTGAATTCCCAAACACACCTGGCCGCAAGGATTCTGGGCAAGGGATTATGGATCTGTGCAACTCTCCTTTCTAGGTGATGAAGACTCCAGGTCTGAGGGGCGCCTGGCCGGCTTAGCCGGTTGAGCTTGCGACTCTTGCTCTGGGGGCTGGGTGTAGAGAGAACTTAAAAAATAAAGTCTTTTAAAAAAGAGAGAGCGAGAGAAAGAAACCATGTCTGAGAATAAATTATACCCCACGGATTGGCACAGGACTTTGCTCTCATTGGCCAGCAAGTGGCAAGCCAGCAGGTGTGTTAATCACAACAGGAAGTGGTATGATTAATTTTGGTTTTTAGAAATTGCAACTGGTAGCAATAGCAGAGCTGGGTTGGTGGAGCCAAGCCTGGGTGCCCAGTCGAAACCAAAAGCCTTTGTCCTTTGGCCTGTGCCAGTGACCTCCTTGATTGCTCTCCTGTCCTCGGGGTCTCCCCCCATCCCCCATCGATCCCATTGGCAGCGGAGATCCGGCCACCCTGCAGCCTGAGCTGGTCCCCACTAACCTCCATGTCACCCTTCCCGCAGACGACTCTCAAGCCTTTCTTGCCTACTCAGCTGCACTCCAGGCCACTGGCCACCCATCGTCCTGAAAACTTCACAGGCCCCTGGCTTTTCTGACCTCATTGCCCCTTGCCCTCCTTCTCCCCATGGGGCTCTGTGCTGGCCCCCAGGGCCCCCAGTTCCTCCAGCAGCGGTCCCGAGGTACCAGGCTTCGCGCTCACCCCCCACCGTAGTTAACCCCGGGGCCATGCTGCGCCACTCCCGGATTTCTGCTCAGGGCCGCCCTCCTCCCTGAGCCTGATTCCTGTATCCAAATGCCTGCCAGGCCCTGGGCTAACCCCAGTTCCATTTGGAGAGATGAACCTAACTTCTCGGCAAACCGATGCAACGTATAAGCGATATGCGTGATGCCTTCTTTTTCGTTTATTTTACCGTTGCTGTTGGCAAATTAAGCCACTCCTATCCTGTTGCCAGGAATTGAGTCCCTGGGCATTACAGGCAGTCATTGGGCTGGACAAAGTACTTACAAGCTAGTGGGGTCAGGGCGGAAATAATCAGGCAAATTCACGAATCCCTGTAATAGAAGAGAGGAAGAGTGTCCCGGAAGGAGGGAGCAGTCTGACCCCCAGGACCTGGTGGTACCTGTGTGCTTTCCCTGCCCTTGATCTTTCCCCAAAGGAGAGGGTTCATCATCACAGTAACAGTCCGCAGTACGGCCGGCTTGCCAGCGACTCTGGGTCGCCTTGGTTTTCAGGCAGTGTTCACGGGACTCGCGACGTGCCGGGACTCCAAGCATCCGCTGTTCTGCGTACCTTCCTGGGTGACACGGAGTCACAGCAAAGCAGTCAGGCGGAGACAGTGATCGTGGGGAGAGGAGCCCGCCGAGAAACCGGTTGGGCTGGGAGCTGTGTCCGGAACGGGGCAGGAAGGAGCTGTGAAGGCGGCTGCATCGCCCCGTGTCCAGTGGGGGGCAGTGGTGTGCCGACAGTCGCGGGGAGCCGTCCCTGCAGGAAGGGGACCCGGGGAGCCAGCCTGACTCCCAGCATCGTCGCTTCGGGTGCCTTTGGTTACGTGTTGCTCAGTCAACACTTCCTTTCGGGAGACAGCCCGGGCGCCTAAGTGTTCGCCAGGAACTTCCCACCCAGTGGAATTGGTTAAGGAGGTACTGAGCCCCTGTCCCGTGCCGCGGCAAGCACAGAGCTGAGTGCAGAG